CAAGTCTGAAATCCCTGCTGGATAAAGTAGGTATTTAAATTAAAACACTATTCTAATCAATACCATGACACATGATCTGCCCATGATGTCCCTGCAAGTCCTAACACTATACCTTTACTGAGAGGTGCTGCAGAAAACTGCATGTTGATAAACTGCCTGAGAAAACGAAATGGGGGAGGAAGGTATCAGATTATCACCCTTTGGAATAGACATTTGTTGGGTTAACACAAACCAAAACAGAGGTGTGTTTTTCTACTTTTTATCATATATTTATGCATCATCACTTGCTTGGTCAAGCTCACATAAAATTTCTACCAGACAAAAAAAAATATATTTGAAATGGACTAAATGGTTGCATCAATCCTTATTTCAAAATTTCCTGAAAATTGTTGTTACATCTAAGAATTCAATTAATTCTGGCTTATCTTTAGAGAGATCTTAAATTGAGAAATTTCACTCAAAACAGCCCTTGCTTTAATGTCCACTGGAATGCCCATACATTACCCTGTAAGTTACTGCTACCTTAACTTAACATTACATAAGCACACATTTTAAAACTACTTTTGATTTTGAATAGATATGATTTTTATTTCAGAACTTCATGCAATCGATTAAAATCTCACCAGTAGGGAGCTTTCAATTTCAAAGTTGTACAGATATTCATTACATAAACTGTTCACACAAACATTTTGTGAAGATTATCAAGTCGGAAACTAAAGTCCCAGCAGACCAATATTTCCTTTACTTCATCACAGGCAAGTCGAATGTAATTCATTCAAGGTTCAACAAAGTCAAACTCATCATCCGGCTTACCCCAACAAGTACACACCATAAATCATTCTTCTGGTTTTGCCAATTCCATTTTGAACTATTCTGCAAATTATGGGGTTCCTAAACCGATCAGAGTAAATTCATGATTAAATCTCTTGATATTGCCCATCATACATCACTTAAATTCTAATTTGTTCAGGGGGCTGCGATTTCCAGGTAAAAGATCTCCTAAAAGATTTAATGAGACAAGAAAATCTATGAATGTGTCTTATTTCTACTTAAAATTCTTACCATTTGCCACAAGATTATTGATTTATTCCGACACTCAGTGGAAAAGTTTAAATCAACTTTAAGTCTTGACGCAGCTTTCATTTCAAATGGGTGTAGCTGATAATTTTGATGATTTGTCTTTATTGGAACTCCCCTTTTCTCCAAGAATTTACTTCTACAGTTAATCAAATTTGTTGTATGTAAAATGTCACTGTTTATCTTTCCTTTATCCAACCGTGAAAATGCTACCATTTTTTCAACATCTTCATTTTTTCCCGTGGTGGCTTGATAACCCTGTTTTGCCATGTAAACATCTTCGCATTCTCAAACCCAAACGCTATGCTGTAGGTCAAGTCATTCAATTGCCAAGCATATTCTAAACTTCAGACAAATCCATAACACTCTTCTTATCAATATAAACCAACAAGCACTAAAATATTGATATAATTTTCCATTCTCCATATAGAACTCATCTCTACATCTATTTAATGAGAACTACACCGCCCAGATACATCCTGATATAGAAATGAGTATTGCTGCCTGATAAATATTGATATAGAGTGTAAGAAGAATGTATTCAATACCTGATGCATGCACCCATTTACAGACACTTCATGATATAGTTATTTAATATCTATGAGAGAGAAAGAGAGAAAAATAAAATAAAATTACTGAAGTATTCTCACATACGTACTAGTATCAAAGAAAACTTTAATTAAACCCATATAAATTAAATAAATCTAAGGAATTCTTTGTACATCATTCCTTGGCATACGTTACTATTTTTCTTTATTATAACATCAAGTAAGGTGAAGGTCTCGAATCTCACCTTGAACTACAAGCTAGACCTTACAAAGTCCACGGGGCAATACAACTTATGATATGTATTCAATAATACAAGTATTGAAATGAGGCATGGTACATTGTTTAAGGCAAGAATGAACTGCTGGATCATATATTGTTGTGATAGAGGGATAGAAGAGGGTGGGAGAGAGGAGGTGCTGGTCAAACCTATAATGACATCAAAGCAAATGGAATGAACACCTAATAATCCAACCTCAGGCAAACACAATTAAAGAATGCCTGTAATGGCTAAGCTCTGGATGAAATAGAGATTCTCTGGTTGTTTTCATTGGAAATAATAAGGTGGAAATCCGTTCAGTATCAAACAACACAATAGGATGTCCTTTAATAGCTATAGGGCTGGCCAGAATTAGTCCCCAATAATGTTATCTACCGGAAATATGATGGCCACTAAAAATACTAACAATACATATTGTCATGTAACGGACCACTTCAGCCAGTCTTACAAAGTCCCCTGTTTTACTGACAGGAAATTACCTGGCATACCAAATGTTGGTTAATTGCCATGGAAATAATCACAATGTATCAAATTGATATTAGCCAATACTATACCAATACATGTTCTAGTATCAGACAAGTTCATGATCAGGTGTCTATATAGAAAATCTAGCGATGTATTGTTTCATCATGTATATCAATGAAATTGGCAGACTTTACATGTCCTTTCATGTCAAACAGATGATACAAAGGAATCTTTTGCAGAATCATTCAATTTTTGTACATTTAAAACTTTTTAATAAAGAAATCAGCATATAACAGTAAATACAGATTTTAATGTTGCTTTGTACATCCCATTAACAGCAAGGGTCATTGAAGGACAAGCCAGGTTTTGGTGGTAGAAGAAAGCCAAGATCAGAGAATAACCATCAACCTGTAGTACCTAGTAACTACCCCAAGTAGGTCTTGACTCCAAGCCCAGAAGTGAAGGGCTATAGTGATTAAGACAGTGAGTTTTACTTCCTTTCATTCATGACTACTAAAGTAACAAGCAAATTTAGGACACATTTTCATGACATTTTTACACTACAGCAATGCAATGCAGAAAGAGTATAATTCCTTTCATCACATAAAGGAAGCACTGGAAATGATTACAAAAATGGACTAAAAATATGTAGATAGATAAAACATTTTAAAATGTTAACAATAAAAAATTCATGACAAATATAGCAAAGATTATTGATTTTGTCATTATTATTGAGTTAACCTTATTCAATTCAGGGGCCTGGGAGATGTTTTTAGCTTGGACTTTTGTGTTAGTACATGATGTAAACGTATTGTACTCTAACCCTTAGGTACATCAACACTCTTCACCAAATGATATACTCTATATTGTAACTCTTTCAACATTTAATATATAACTATACCATATATAAATAGTACAGAATACTTCATCCTGTGTACATTCATGGTGTTTCTGTGGGTGTAACTATCCTGTATTGTGAGGGTGATTCTGTGGGTGTAACTATCCTGTATTGTAATGGTGTTTCTGTGGGTGTAACTATCCTGTATTGTGAGGGTGATTCTGTGGGTGTAACTATCCTGTATTGTGAGGGTGTTTCTGTGGGTGTAACTATCCTGTATTGTGAGGGTGATTCTGTGGGTGTAACTATCCTGTATTGTAATGGTGTTTCTGTGGGTGTAACTATCCTGTATTGTGAGGGTGATTCTGTGGGTGTAACTATCCTGTATTGTAATGGTGTTTCTGTGGGTGTAACTATCCTGTATTGTGAGGGTGATTCTGTGGGTGTAACTATCCTGTATTGTGAGGGTGATTCTGTGGGTGTAACTATCCTGTATTGTGATGGTATTTCTGTGGGTGTAACTATCCTGTATTGTAATGGTGTTTCTGTGGGTGTAACTATCCTGTATTGTGATGGTGTTTCTGTGGGTGTAACTATCCTGTATTGTGATGGTGTTTCTGTGGGTGTAACTATCCTGTATTGTGACAATGTTTCTGTGGGTGTAACTATCCTGTATTGTGGCGGTGTTTCTGTGGGTGTAACTATTCTGTATTGTGATGTAGCTGATACACTACTGATCCTATGTACGTTGATGGTGTTTCTGTGGGTGTAACTATTCTGTATTGTGATGTAGCTGATACACTACTGATCCTATGTACGTTGATGGTGTTTCTGTGGGTGTAACTATTCTGTATTGTGATGTAGCTGATACACTACTGATTCTATGTACGTTGATGGTGTTTCTGTGGGTGTAACTATTCTGTATTGTGATGTAGCTGATACACTACTGATCCTATGTACGTTGATGGTGTTTCTGTGGGTGTAAATACCTTACACTTATTTATATGGTACAATTGTACTTGATCGTGTATTAATACTAGAACTTGGCGGCATTATTGTACTTTATACTCCTAATACAAAGTAAATTTCTATACACAAGTTCAAGTATCAGTGTTCTCTGTTAATTCACTACAAAAACAACCACAGATTGCTCACTTATTGCTCTCAGCTAACAAGGCATAATTACAGGCTTCCTTCAGAAGTTATACATCTAAACATTTATGGTACATGTGATAGCTGCAAATTCTAACCAATCAATACTTTTTTTACATCTGGTGTCACAAGAGATTTTCAAGTGTAAATTTAGAGGCAGACTATGACTTTTTAATAACAGAATTCTATGAATCATTAATAATGAATCCATAATAGATATATTGACTTTTTCAAGAGAAGGTGAATCTAAAAGCTAGAGAAAGGTTTCAATTTTTTTCCCCCCCATCAACAAAATTAAAATTGTTTTCATGATCATTTGATTGATATTTGTATAGTTTTATAAAAAGAAATCGCCAAATTCTGTCAATGTTTTAGGCAAGACCACACCTACATAGCAAAACAATTCATAAAGGGCCAACTGATATTAGATGTTTCATCAAGAAATGCATGTACACTACGAGGTATGTACACTACAAGGCAAATTCATTTGTCTTTGAAGATATCATTGATATACCAAACACAGAATCTATATAGTTACAAAGATAGTGTCTGGAGCTGTCTGTGAGACAGAAGTATACATGTGGAATTCCTGAAGCAGAATTACTACCTGCTACATCTACATTCTACCTATAATGAACTCACCCTTTGTGTAATCAGCTGGGTCCTCCTGTTCATCATCATCGGACCCCAAAATCTCTTCTTCCTCTTCCTCGTACTCCGGGTCTGGCCGACTCTGGGGATCGGATCTGGGGACAGACACAAGAACATCATCAATGTCATTCATGAGGCGCCCCCTCCGCAGACAAAGCACATTGCGCTCAAACAAGCTCCTGAGCACTTTCATGGTACAGTACTTAGCCAGCTCCTGATTGTTTTAGTATTCCCAACTAAAGTGACAATTTTACAGTAAGAGTTACTGCCTAAACAGTTCCCTGCCCTGTGAACAGGATCTATGCCGATTCTATTCCTGTTATACATACAGGAATCAATTAATCAATGAAAATTTTTTCCCCTCTGTAAGATGCAGTCTTCCACCTATTGGAAGCATTATCATCTGAGCCAGAGAAATGTCAGTTTATATGTGATGTTCCCGGTGGAGATCACTTCTCTGCCCTATCACCTCCGGTCAACATCCAAACTACCAACAATACCCAATACAACTCTCCTATGTTGCCTTCACTCTGAAGATATTTTTTGTCTATCAGGAGAGATGTATACTAAAGAAATATATCACACATATGTTTCAGTCTTACAGTGAGGGAACCCTATACACGTGTTTTCTCTGGGACTAAGATGGATGGTGATGCTGTGTATGCAGCCTTCAGTGATATTTTTAGTTCCAATCATATCTTTTTGCTAGCCAGTTGTACACATCTTCCAGTCATGCCTGGCTGACATCATATATATACAAGGGGTTGAAATGTATGGCTGGCACTGCCAAGTACACAACACAATATCAGAAGATAACATCCAATGTGTTACTGCCCCTATGTCAGTTACCTCTGGCCTTCACTAATGGGTTACCACAGGATCATAGACACAGGATGTCTTTATATCTCCCGACAGGACAGTCATCAATATTGAACACCGACATCTACTGCATCAAATGCAAGACTGATGAACATGCACGCACATGACACAGTGAGTTTTTAAATTTCTACGTTCAGTGATTGGTGTCTAAAGAAACTGATTAGGTTTAACAAACTTTCCCATCGGTTTCGACACCATTCTCAATTTCTATTTCCCTTTAATGATGAATTTAGTGATAGTAATGATGAATTTAGTGATAGTAATGATGAATTTAGTGATAGTAATGATGAATTTAGTGATAGTAATGATGAATTTAGTGATAGTAATGATGAATTTAGTGATAGTAATGATGAATTTAGTGATAGTAATGATGAATTTAGTGATAGTAATGATGAATTTAGTGATAGTAATGATGAATTTAGTGATAGTAATGATGAATTTAGTGATAGTAATGATGAATTTAGTGATAGTAATGATGAATTTAGTATGATGAATTTAGTGATAGTAATGATGAATTTAGTGATAGTAATGATGAATTTAGTGATAGTAATGATGAATTTAGTGATAGTAATGATGATAGTAATGATGAATTCTCGCCAAGAAATCTATAATTGTGAATTTTATGACAGCAATTAGAACTACTCAAAATAACAGTAGAATTAAATTAACAAATTACAATGTGTCAGTGGGACATATGCTATCTCTATGTCCATCAGTACTTAAATACATGTGTATCTCATAAACATTTCACATTACAAAGACTGTGGACAACACTTCACACAATTTTATCTTATTGTTTAAAAGTTCATTTCAATACCTTCTTACTGAAACATGCATACTCAATGTCTCAGTCTAAAACCCATCTCTTTAACAATGTTCTTTATGCAAGATTCACCTCTTTCTTCCACTTAATGTGACAATATTTTCCTCATGTGAATAATCTTAAAATTCTAAAGCTTCAACACAATTCATTGAAAGCTGACAATGAAAATGTTACAAGTTCTGTGCCTGTACTAATATGAAATTAATATAATGACTTCCACTACTCATATGGGTTTGCCATATGCCCTTTCAACATCAATGAACTTGGTACACAGATCAATTTTGTCAACTGAATATTATCATGACCTTGACCTTAGGACAATTTTTGACTTATGCTCATTTTCTCCCTTTGATGATCTTTTTCAGGCTATCAAGTCATCTATTTTAAGCCGTTTTCAGCAGTAAAAGATATGAAAAACAGAAAGTAGAAAGAAAGACATTATTATACTACACAACCACCATCAACATCCTTAGGAGTCACTGGAATTTTTCAACACAATCTTAGTTGGTTTATAGCCATGACTAAAAGATACGTCAATAACACATATTTCTCTTTCTGGAAATAACCCCATGACTGGTTATTAAGCCCATCCAAATCTTACTTTTCATTAGCAATTGCCAACAAAGGTTACTTCCTTGTCTAACAGAAGGCACATGCTCTTATTGAAGACGCTAACTTTTTTGCTGCTGAATGTTTTTCTGAATTTTTTTTTTCTTTCTATTTTTCTTTTTCTTAAGATTAGCCAAAATTTTCCGTAATAGAAAGTAAATTTTGTCCCAAAGTTTTTCTTTTTTTTGGCTACAACCTAAAAATGGATGTTTCCCTGTGTTAAATCAAATTACCCTTGGGAAGTTATTGTATATTAACTTTTATCTGCGTAAATACTAAAATATTAATCTCAAGTGGCATGAATATGATTCTGATGTTCTGTTTTTCATTAGAGCATATTTTCTTATTTTGCAATTTCTGAAATGGATATAAAGCCCTCAAATTGATATCATAATTATGGTAATTACAAAAACATTGAATTTTTTCTGAAGTGTATCATATGCCAAGTTAAAATGCCAAAAGTTTGACTTTTGTACATTGATGTGCTTCATTTGAAGATTAATACTCTTTGGCTTATTTTAGGAGAAATTAAGTTTAATGTAGCTGGTTCACTAGATAATGTCATTATTAGTTTTTCAAGGTTAGAAAAACAGATCTGAGATGTCTGAACTAATCTCCCTAAACACCAGCACATTATGCCATAAACACCTCCACCCACCATACCGTAATCAACACACAAGGGCAACATCATTTGTTGCTTAATGAAACAGTTACTCTCCTAATCAAGTTTAACTGGTAGGTTTGCCCTCATGAAAAAAAAAACCCAACTAAACCATACAAATAACAATGTGTTGGGTGACAATTCTGGGAGACGTTGATCATGACATAGTGGATTTTGCAGACAAGATCAAGTGAATCGACCAACAATTCATCACCGACAGATACACATAACATCCAGGTACACGATATGGTCAGAGTTGTAACAGTAGTACTAACAGCATGTACACTCATGGTGTACTTCTCCTCACTGTCCCTTACCCATACAGATACAAATCAGCTAAGTCAGCAGAAATTCATGAAATACTTTCCTATAGCCTTAGCCATAGAATATATCTGATAAAAGACATGAATATATTTGCCAATGTAAACCTCCTGAATCTTACTGCAGACATCTGAAATGCAACATAAACAATTCACCAATCTACAGACTTTCTTTATACCAATATGTAACTTCAATGTATCATCAACTGTACATTGCTATCCACTTGAATCTAAAATCCATTTGATGATTGTGTGAAATCTGTATTATCTATCTAGTTACATGTCTGTCTAAATAATGCACCATGACCACTGATGTATGTAAAAATCCTTGAATAGTAAAGTCTGTTTGACATAATGCCAAAATATCATCTGACCAAAAGCATGATGAGGTGACAAACCATGTATACACAAGTTACACATGCAGCATTTTTGTATGTAAATTGTTGACGTAAATGTCCAGGATGATCAATAACTAGTCCATGTTTAAAATAAACCTCACCACAATGGCATCTTTATAAGGACTGTATGCACACACAGATATAAGAAAGCTTGTTTATAACTCTCTGAAGTGTGACCGTCATTAATGCTGTATTATTACAAGAAATGGTTTCCTTATTGGCCACAACGATAACCTTGACTGAAGAATGTTACCCAAGATGTAATAACTATAGCAAAATTTCCTTTCAATAAAAATCCCAACTAGTTTTAATATGCTTCATTGCAAAATAAGAAAAATTATTATATTTCTCTTTTATCAAAGAAATAACTTTCAAATTTATTCATTATCAGAAATATGAAGCAGAGGTTTTCTTGTACACATTAAGGTCAACAAAACATGAATCACAAGACTTATTCATGACGATGTATACATGTACACATTTCAGAGGTAACCTACAGCACACAGCTGCTGTAGTCAAGACATCAGTGCACTTCACACTTGTGACTCAGAAAGAATATATTTCATTACATAAGTTACTCAAAATGATAACATATTGTGTCATATAGCATTTCAGCTGCCTGTGTGAGTATGTTACTGCACCTTTTCCAAATTCATCCTCGTAACCAACATTTTCCCATCTACATGACGAAATGAAATTTGGTCTACATGTCATTGCATGAAAAACAAAAACTTTGATCACAGAAAAAATTAAAGGAAGTGCCCAAGTGTTAATTTTAATTTGATTTTCACAATTTTACTTAATACTTAAAACAAAATCAATGTTGATGTAATACATGCAGCCCCTTTGTATTTGAATCCCTTTAATCCCTCTAATCAACCTCAATTACTCTTGCCAATTGAGGGTACATTGTTCTCAACTCTTCACAATTTATCAACTTACTTGCAAGTATCTATAATACATTTATAATAATGCAAGCTATAAGCTGCTATCGATAATGCCAACTTTTTCAAGTTACAAAGTGCCCAGGATTTCTTCGGGGTGTTATCAAATCAAACAGTAAATTTGTCTTCCTGGTTTTATCAATTTTAATTTGCAGTTATGGTCAGTGTAATGAAGCTGTCAAACTTAAAATAAAATTCATCTAGAAATACACACTATTGGCAAATAAATTTAATTTTTGTTTTCCCAACTACCAAAGCAAATATAAACACATAAAGTGAATGAACAACAGCAGCACTATGTAAGAAACTTACGTACAGAGGTATTTCTAGCTCCTCCTTAACACAAGAGGAGCCAAGGCAACACATCACGTAAGTCTGCCAAAATTAACAGCCCCCAAAGAGTTTCACACAGATCCTCCACTCCTCCAACAAATTCATTTCCTAATCCAGGTTTTCAATAT